CATTAATATTGTATTATATTTAATGTTTGTTATATATGTTATAATGCAATATGCTGTTGGTGTTCCTTTGTGGAAATCTGTACAGAATTAACGACATTGCAAAAAAAACTAGATTAATCGAGTAGTCGACGTTTAAAGATATTTATCATTATTGGCTCTGCGATTATCGTATTATTGCGATGATGTATCTTCACAATGCTGTTGTCAAATCAAGTGCCTCAATACAAAAGAGAAAGTTCCTATTGGTATGAGATGAAAGAATATTGTTATCTCCCACTAACGATCTAAAGGTCAACGCTATTATGAAGAGAATATCTTACATAAGAATATGTTGCGCAAATCTTAAAGCGACTTTCAATACAAGAAATGTTATGAATTCGTCCGTACTTTTTGTGTATAGATTATGCAATATCGTCGTCAATTAAGGGCCAATTTTGATAATTCTTTTTACAATCAGTGAAGTTTACTCTCATATTTTTCCAATGTAAACTTTGAAATTAATAAAGAAAGAAAAATAAAACTATCTAGTGAAATACATAGACATTATAGGTACTATCAGTATAAGCAAATTTTAGTCAATATAGTCTTTTAGCATAGCATATGTTTTTATGGCTCTCTGACGCTAATCTTATTTTTTTTCTTTTTTTTTTCCTTCATCTTTGTCCAATGTATTCTTTGCGGAGCAACTCCAACTTGTAAACACACGATTCTGTGTTCTAAATTCAAATACTTTATTTGGAAATATTTAAATACTAAACCCTAGATTTGGGAAACTTAAATAACTAACACATTGAAAAACTAAAATTCTTTTTAATATATGTAAATTTGAAAAACAATATTTGTATTTTAAATGTAAAGTTATGTTTCACAGATGAATTATCTCATGGTAATTTTTCGTGGGTAATTTTTGTGCGTTTCGAAATAACAATTGTGAGATTACTAGTCAATGTTAATTTTATCAGCACTGAGATATCATTCTTTTTCGCTTTAGAGCTAATTCGACTGATGACGTAGATTTCATTTTTTATTGTTATAATTTTATTTGAAGATTAGTTTTCCTAAACACTCATATTTATTTTTATTTGTTATATAATAATTTATATTGTTCTAGTAATTTATAATAATTGAACTTATACATGTACTCGTATAATTTGAAAATTTTTCAAAATTTGTATATGATTTAAACGAGATTAAACTATTTTCAAATGACTTCAAGAAAGGGAAGGTTCTTAAGTCAGTGTTATTTTTTGCGTTTGTTATCTAATAACTATCATTTATAAAACGATTTTATCTGAAGGGATATACTTTTAGATTAGTTCCATAGAAATTTTATCAAAATCTGTTCAGTATTTCTGAAGTCTTTGCGGAACAGATCTTAAATTATGTTTAAAAAAGTAAAATCGCGTAAAAGAAAAATAATACGAAATAACTCCTCTTTTCCAAGTCGCGTAATAAAACGCCTCATTGATTTTATAGATTCAATATCGATTTGTGAATTCAGACGTTGGCTTTAGAAGAGAACAATTTAGCTTTTGAGACAGGTAATGTAAAAGCATAGAAAAAGAAATACTTGTTCACTTTTTCATGTGTCATAAGAAATAAAATCAACTAATCACAAATGGGCTGTTTATAATATTTTTATATATCTAGCGTATTCATTAAACATGCTTGATAAGTAATTTTATCGAAATGCGCCATCTATGAATTGAATATACAAAAAATAATTGCTAGAAAGTATTACCTACCTACCTACCCTGTATTATTTCGTTTAAAAGAACAGTTAGACAAGTTAGCAAACTTCATTCTTATGTTTCCATTATTACCTACTATAAATTGTGATAACTCTATTTCATAAGATTTTTTTTTATTTTTTTTTATACCACTAAAGTGTTAAACAAGCATACGGCATATCTACTGGTAAGCAGTCACCGTAGCCAATGAACGCCTGCAATACCAGATACATTACGCGCGCGTTACCGACCCTGAAGAAATCTCTTTATCCCTTTTTTGATGAACCCCAAATCTTTTGAAAATATCATTATAATATCAATAGAAATACATGTTACAAACATAAACAGTGAAATAAAAACCCATTTGGAGTTTATTTGTCACTGTTCGAATACATTTACTCGCACTGTCGCTTATTTGGAAAATAGTTTGGCAAAAACTCAATTGTTTTTACATTTTTGTGTCATTAAAATCGATTAAGTAGTTTAGTTTTTAGATCAAAAGAACTGGTTTTGAACTGGAGTCGTTTTTTGTGGAATACTACCTAAATATTTTGTGTACATATTACGCAGTAACTTCGATTATTCGGTCTCAATTCCAATAGTTATTTAGGTTTGATTGTATTACAAATCTCAGAACCTCATTGAATACGTATTACTAATTCCACAAATTAATTTATTATTGACTGAAATTGATCACCTACCAAGAACGAAGTTCTTATAAAATGGCGTTAATTTGGAAAACAATTAGTAATGATTAGATTGAATACTCTTAATGATGGAATCAATCTTTTTAATCAATATAGATTATACAGTATACTATAATAACAGATTAATAATTTAAAATGTATAGTTTAGGTAAATAGCTTAATAATTAGTTTAATTAGTATGCGTAAATATTTTACTTGTTCGTGATTAAATTGGATATTTTTTTATCCAACTTAGAATGGCAATCAAGCTGACGGCCCACCTGATGAAAAGTGGTATCCGTCGCCTATAGACATTAGCAGTACCATAGACATAACAGAGCATACTATTTCGCCCATGAAACCTCCCCACCCCACTCTACTCATGATACGCGTAGTTGCCATTCCTGAGGATTCAAGTGTTATTTCTCTGTACCCTGTAAATTTCTTGCCATACCCCACCCTTCAATCCGAAACACAGCCATGCAAACGCAACTGCTTCACAGTAGAAACACGAATGGGACAAAGGTGCCTAAGCATACGACTTTTGTACAAAGTCTCTCTCTGGTGATATTAAATACTAGTAATAAGTAGGTGAGTGTCAAAAGGGAAGGAAGGAGGACGAGAGATGGGCAGCAGCGTCTCTCTTAATACACCTCTAAAGCCTGACTACGGTTTCCAATCCGCCTGCCAAGCGAGGCAACTATTGGCCAACCCCTCCCCCAAGGGAGGCTAATGTTCAGCAGTGATCAGTTAAAGGCTGAAATGATGACGATGATGATGGTGATGAATATTAAGTATATTGCAGTAATTTACTGCCAGATAATCTCAAAATTAAATATAATAATTAAGTATCAATAAATATAATATATGGCTATATCTTATTAATATTGTAAGATGCTTATTACACATTACATTGGTTAAGTTTTAATAAACAGTCGACTAACAAATAACAACTCTATGCTATAACATAGTATATTACAACTGACTTCAAAAGGAAGGTTATCAATTCGGTTGATTTTTTTTTATCTTTGTTATAACTCCGTCAAGTCTAAACCCTTTTGGAATTTTTTTTTCCAGTCGTGGCCAGCCTATAAATTTTCCAGAACCCACGCATAATCTGTTCTGATGATAGTTTTAAAAATAAAACACCTGTTTCGATAACCATAAAATTTGTTTTATTTGTAATATAATTATTCATTAAAAAATTTAACAAATAAATTGCATACATATTCTTGCTCTATTCATTCATAAAACTAACATGGATAACATGATAATTTATATTATTTTTTCATGGATAGTTTTTTTAACTGACTTTAAACCCACGCAGACTCTGTTCTGATGTAGTTTTTTTATGTTTGTTATACAGTATCTCATATACTTCGTCAGTGGTAAACCGATATAGAAAATACTTTTTTATCTGATAGGATATACAATTTGTATGTAATTTTATTGTAATGTTATCAAAATCAATTTATTAGTTTAATTTTTGAATCAAAGTAACTGATTTTAAACCATATGGAAAGTTTTTTATTGATACAAAAAACAAAATTTTTTTTTATGAAACATAATATATACAATCAAACTCACGATTGTCTCCCATTTTTTAAGCAGAATCAAAATGCCAAATGCTTTTTTTCAAACAATTATCTTAATTACATTATATGCCTATTTTGGTTGTAAAAAAATCGCTTTTCGATACAATGCAGATGAAAAATTCAATAATATCTTACTTCACGCCGAATTCTTTGTGGTGTAAAAGGAAGGAACTAACTGTCAAAGGCCTATTATTAAACACACACACACACACATATAAACACACACACACACACACACTTCATCTACTTTTATAACTATACGCGTATTTAGAGGAGTGATGCAAGATGCAAGCGAAGCTTCACAAAGACGTGTCTGAGCCTATGCGCCTTTTTAAGGAACTACCCTCCCCAATCACTAGAAACAATCCTAACACACACCAATATTCATAACTCATTAAGAGTTGTACTCTTTATAGTTATGAAAAGCAGAAGACTTAAGAAATATAAAATGTTAAGTTGTTTACATTAATAATTTTTACATTTAAATTGTATATATAGAGCATCGAGTTTCAAAAACAAGTCAACATTTGAAAATTTTTAAAAAAATTGTCAAATTAGTTGACACGTTTTTTTATCAATGTTATATAATATATACATACGCACATAATGTACTTTGCTGTATATTTAATTATTCAATAAATAAAGTAAGTTTTTACACATTAAAACGATGCAAAAATATATTAAACAAAATAAACATAGAAGTTTTAAGGAAACCCTCATAACTACAGGCAAAATTGTATGAAAAAAATTACCCGCCTTTCTCTAAGCATTTGTATGGAGACAATCTATTTATATAATCTAAGTTTATAAAATACAATTTTAAATCGAAAGCACAAACATAGCAGCAAAGTTTGTTGAAATGAACAATTTTCCTGCTAAAACTGCATTCAAATTTAGCGGTAAAATAGTAAAACTTTTAACTTAAGTAAAACATAAGTTACTTGAATAATAATAATTTCTATTCTAAACTATGCACTTTGTTGTTACAGATTCAAATGGATTACACGAGTGCATCAGATGTGTTGTTGTGTAACAGTGTGAAATATCGTGCATGAAGTGAAGTGATGACACAGTGCAGTGAGATAACGTCATCAATGAAGCGACGTAAACAGCGAACATTTTCCAATAGAAGACCGGCAGTTCAGTGAAATTGTACAATATGTATGCTGTATCAGTTTGGATATTGTTTACAGCATGTATAACAATCGGTAAGAACATTTTATTTATAAATAGTTTAGCTATATCGTTATTTTTTTTAGGGTTTCTGACGTCCTTAATGGAGTACCGTTTGAACACACTCCTTGGAGGAAAAGAACTATTAGTAATGAGGATCTGACAGTTCCATTGCTAGCAATGTACCCTATCAAGTCGACTTTTATGCGGATCCTCCTGGAAACTATCTTAGTCAGTTTTTATGGAATTCGTCACGATGGACTAACGAACCTATTATTTCTCACTGGTGCCCCGCCAGTGATAGCACAGGCGGGGTTACCACTTCATTATCGTTCAATATAGAAATTTGCACGAAATTTCATTAGTACGTCTCTCTCTCTCTCTCTCTCTCTCTCTCTCTCTCTCTGTGTGTGTGTGTGTGTGTGTGTGTGTGTGTGTGTGTGTGTGTGTGTGTATATGCATGCGTACGTGCGTGCGTGCGTACGTTCGTTCGTGCGTACGTGCGTGCGTATGTGTGTGTAATTTATTTATTTTTGCATATATGATAACATCTTTATTTTTTATATATCTGTGATAAAATAATAATTAAAAATGTTATGTGTAACAAACTAGTGACTTAGTGGTTAGCATCAAAATTTAATTAAACATCTTTTAATTAACATTTTAAAATTGAATTTTTCAATTCATTTGAATACAAAACTTTTGATTCTATCATGGTGTTCATAATGGTAGTCGTTTAAAACGTTTTAAATCTTTTCACGGCCGGTACTGTTTCAGGAAAACACGAAAAACCTTTTAAAAAATTAGGAACTTTAGCACCAAGCTTAGCATGCTATTACAAAATACCTAAGACATTTATATATCTGAAGCCCTAGATACATAATCAAAGATTTAAAAAATGTCCTTATATATAAATTTTGGTATTATATTTTTTTTATGAAATATATTAATTATATCAGAAGAGATTTAAAAAGACTACTTCCACTGTAAATAACAGCATTTTTTTTGTATTTTTTTTTATGTTTGTGTCTTCATAAATATTCTTTTTTATCTGTCATTTTTATTATTTTTTTATTTAAGGAATATATATCATTATTTCTATTGCTTTTTTATTATTATTACATATTTTTTATTCTTATTATTGACCATTGATATTTCATGAATTTAATAATTGACTAAATAAAATAATTGAACCAATTTTTTTTTCATATTTTAATTTGTTTTTCTTATTATGTAATTAATAAGAAAAACAAATTATATTTTTTTAAACATTTTAAATTATTGAACTTTTGCCTTCAATATTTGCACATTTTTCATTTTGTAATTCAAAAGAATTAAATAAGGTTCTCAATTCGATTGTATTTTTTTTATGTAGAACCTGTTTCTTTATAACTCACGTCTTTTAATATCCAATATATTATTAATAATAATTCATTTATTTGGAAAAGTTTTTACTGAACAAAGTTTTTTGCATCTAAACAATCAATCAATCTCTTTATTCATACAGATTAGATACCCATGTATAATTATAATAATTACTATAGAAAATAATATTGAGTTAAGAAAAAATGCAATAATTACATTTACAATAATCACATTAATACAAAATTCAAATCCATTCTTTTGTCATTTAAATAGTCATTTTTGTACAGAGAGTGTAATAAAAACGTCATCTGGAAGTTTATTATAAAAACGTAGTCCCCATGAAAGATGTTTTTTCTGTAGGATCTAATAATTTTTAAAAAGATAATTTTTACTACATATTATATTATTATACCTGTTTGCTTTTTTTATTATTATTACATATTTTTTATTTCTATTTAGTGATCATATATGGGAGCCCCATTGCAACTTATAATCAACTACTATGATATCTTCAAATCTAATTAATAGCTTTCACTTTTGGATATGGAAAATCTGATACATTTAGTTTTTTTTGAATTAAGTACTAATTATTTGACGTAAATATCAAATAACAAAGAACATTTACATGGTCAAGGTTATGTTAACTTTATTTGAAGTTCATCATTTTTTTTACGGTATCATTCATGTATACAAGAAAAAGAAAAGGACCCAAAATAGATCCCTGAGGCACACCCATTTCAATATAAGATCCACTAGAATTGACACCGTTTACTTCTACTATTTGAATTCTTGAATTTAAGTAAGATTTTAAGAGATCTAAAGACTTATTTCTAACTCCATAATGTTCAAGCTTCATTAATAAAGTTTTATGATCGACGCAATAATGCCTTAGAAAGATCACAAAATACACCAATTACATCTTGTGAATTCTCCCATGATGCATTGCATTAAATTAATTTCAAATGCATCGTCCTTTTGTAAATCCATATTGTTGCTTGTGGAGTAAGTCACGTAAATTGAAATGGTCTTTTGTAGAAGAATTAATTTTTCGAAAATCTTATAAATACTGGTAGAATTGAGATTGGCCTAAAGTTGTATATCACCAGACTTAAATAACGGCATTATTTTACAAATTAATTAATTCCTTGATCAATACTCTTGTTAAATATTATAGCCAGATATTTCATTTATTACAGATTTCATTACCTTTACTGACATACCCCAAATATCTTCCGTATTTTTCAAATTGAGAGAGTTAAAGGCTTTTATTATACAAGAAGAATTTATGTAATGAAACCTAAAATCATAGATAGATACAGGAACTCACAGTGTTTTTTAATAAATGTTTAGCTAAATCAGGTGATGAATTTAATGATTTTGTTGCTTTTAAAGGTATTGTTGAGAAAAAATTTTCGAAAACTTGAGCAACTTGATCATTTTTATCAACGATACCATTTTCAGTTTTCAGCCTATATTTTAACTGACGACTTTTTGTTACCTATTTCCGTGTTTATTATGTTCCATAGTCTTTATTTTGTCTTTAGATGTTGTAATTTTACGTTTTAAGTGAAGTATCTTAGCAGCGTTACACACTCTTTTAAATATTTTTGAGTAATTTTTCACATATTCAACAAAAATAGGTACTTTAGTATATCATACAGTTGATACATATTCTCTCTACTTTTTCTAATACCAAACGTAGACCATTAATAAATTTTGAATTCTTAATCTTTGACTTCTTAATTGGAAAATTATTATCAAAATGAGATTTTACTAATGTATTGAAAAATCGGTCATATAATGTACTAGGATTTATATTATTATCATCATACTTTAAAAAAGGTAGGCTTTCCTTTAATCTATCCCTGAATTTCTGCAATTTATATGCTGTTGTTGGTCTATAGAGTTTATAGGTATCTTCCGTAATTTCACTACATGTAAATGTCACACTTTGTCCGCAATTTTGTTATTTATGTTAATGATAGCTGAATTAGGCTACCATTAACATTAATAATCCAGGGGAAATGTGGTCTGACTGACCTATTGATCCATTACACTCTACCTGGTCGATCTCCACGCGGTTCCGTTTGGAAACCATCATAGTTAATTCTAGTGGAATTCGTCACAATGGGCGAACTGATCTGCTTCATCGTCACTTATCATTTTTCATTGGTGCCCCGTCAGCGAATATCGATAGCGCGGGCGGGGTTACCATTCCACTATCACCCATTAAAAAAATTAATAATCCTAAGTAATATTATAAACAATAATATTTAACTATATTTTAATAATATTATCTTACACTTACTTTTGTAATTGTAACAATTTTTTTTGGTTCCAATAAAATATATTATATTATTTTTATTATATCAAAATCGATTATGATGAACTTTGGTACAGAGATAGATGTGACTTTGAAGATGGTTACAGGTTACTTTCTCTTGCGAAAAACTTACAGGAGTTGGAGTGAACGAGGGGTAACTTTTGTATGAAACTTTCGTCGTCAGATTTGCTTCAAACTTTGCAAAATTATACATAATTAATGTATACATATTTCTTTTATTAAATTACTCCGTTAAGGGGGTAAGTTTCTTTTTATAACTATTTTATCCCTACCTATATCAATAACTAGTATTACTAGTTTACACAAGCAAAGCCAGCTAGATAAGAGCCAGCCCACTTGACCAACATGACCCTAATAAAGAAAAGCCTACGTCCAGCAGTGAATAGTTAACGGCTGATATGATGACATAGGGGAGGGGAGGATGGGTTAGGTCGACCTCTACGTGGTCCCCCCTGGAAACCATTGTGCTGTGTTATATATATATATATATATATATATATATATATATATATATATATCAAACTGCTCGTATCTCAAAGCAATTTTCCCCATTTAAATGAATTGAAATGCTATTAATCCGTAGTCCCAAAAAACCATCTCAGTTGTTTTTGTTAAGTGTTAGTCTGAGGTGGGAGAAACTTATTCACCAACATCCACTCCGCATGTTGGAGTCGTATGTAACAGTGTAGTATGCGATTCCTCGTATCTCAAATCTTGCTCTCATCTCAAAGCAAAATATCGATCGCTCGGCGGCTCATATCTCAAAACAGTAGTATATTAGGGCACTCGTATATCGAGGTACCACTGTATTACTAAGATTTTACAGTTATATTAAAATTGCGTGCCATGAGAGTACCATCTCTAATCTCTAAATAGTATAAAACAAATTGGCTATTCGTGTCTGTTTGTATATCCAATTATATCTAAATTACGCAACGTACTTACGAGTTTGATACTGGTTTCACTATCGTTTGAAATTTTCAAGAGATTCTCAATTCGGTTTTTTTATGTTTGTAACTTCATAACTTTATTAGTTGTATACCGATTTGAAAAATTCTTTTTTTTTATCTGAAAGGATATACTTATATATTGGTTTCATAGAAATTTTATCAAAATCAGATTAGTTTTTTTTTTGTATTATTCTCCAGTTCATTAGTTTAGTTTTTAAATCAAAATAACTGGTTTTCCCACAATTGAAGTTGTTTTTTTTTTTCCTGGAACACTATCCTAATAAAAACAAAGGATGTCTACAATTTGCATCCACACGAAGTCGGAAATTTCGCTAGCATATAAATTTATATTTATTATCAACACATTTTTTTTTAT